TGTGTGCGTGTCTGTCTGTGTGCGTGTCTGTCTGTGTGTCTTTGTGTGTGTGTGTCTTTGTGTGTGTGTGTGTGTGTGAGAGAGAGAGAGAGAGAGAGAAATGATTCAGACCTCAGACCCGACTGATGCGGTGTTCAGCTTCCCCTGCTCCACCCGCATTCCCCTCTGTCCTCTGTGTCAGTATGTTCTCTCCCCCTCCCCCCCAGGTCTGATGGGCATGCCCTCGGAGCCCCCCCAGCCAACCCACACGTCTTGCTCCTACCAGCATCCCCCCCCCAGCAGCAGCATCAGCAGCCACCCGCACAGCGGGCAGAACAGTCTCACCAACAGCATCGCGGGCGGAGGCCAGGTGCCCCTGTCCCACCCCCCCCAGCTGCCAGCTCAGAACGCCCACTCCGCCCACGGCTCGCCTCATGGACAGCACCCTTCCCAGCATGCGCCACACTCTCAGCACCTTTCCCAGCACTCCCAGCACCCATCCCAGCATGCACAGCACTCCCAGCACCCATCCCAGCATGCACAGCACTCCCAGCACCCATCCCAGCATGCACAGCACTCCCAGCATTCCCAGCACCCTTCCCAGCATGTACCTCACTCCCAGCACTCTCAGCACCCTTCCCAGCATGCACAGCACTCTCAGCACCCTTCCCAGCATGCACAGCAACAGGGTCAACATCCATCCCAGCAGCAGCAACAGCAGCAGCACCAGAGTCTCTCACACCAGCCCCTTCCAACCCAGCAGCTGTCCTGCAGCACCGGTAAGGCTCGCCTAGCCCTTACCTCAGAGTAACATGATCCTGCCAGCTCTGTCCGAGTAAAACTGGCTTAAAGTGGTAGAGAGTCTACAGCTGTATGCTTCCCTCTCAGTGAGACACAAGCGGCCTACTAGTGGTGGTGGCGCAGTATGACGCCCTAGGTTAATAGCTGGGTGTGGGCGTGGCGTCTCCCAGAGTCCTCTTGCACAGCCGGCTCCGTGTCCCCACAGGCCTCCCTGCCGACTGGTACCCCAACCTCGACGCCCTGAAGGAAAGCTGTCGTATCGCCAGCAGCTACAACTGGGCAGATGTGGACCTCTCACCATTTCAAGGTACTTTTGGGCCGAGGGGTGGTGGTCTGACCCGGAAAACCAGCTTATCTGATGCAGAATATTAGCGATAAATAGAACTTGCTTTAGTCAAAGGAGCCTGGAGTTTTCATTATGGTAGGAAGTGTCCTTTCTGATAATGTGGATAATGTCTCATGAGCTCAGTCACATTCATACTGAAGCCTTAAGATCCATTTATTTGGCTTTATTCTTGTTTCTGAGTTAGCAGTGCCCGTTCTGTAAAGCATTGATTGTTCGGGGCCCGATTATGTCTTGATGTGACTGCGCTGGGTCCTGAAGCAGCCGTGTGTCTGTTCCAAGCGCTACTCTTTGCCAGCCTGACTTAGCATCAACCTTTGAGTCTGATTACTCAACAAAGGTGTGTTCAGCAGGGTGAGAATTGTTTGGTGATGTAATGAAACTGAGTAGTAGGACTGTTAACTGGATGCAGTTTGACACCTTTACTCCTCTACATCTTCAAAAACTAACACTTTGTTTTTTTAGCATTCTGATTACAAGTGGCGGGGGGGGGGGGGGGGTCGGTAAATGATCAAACAAAACAATGACGCAAGAATAAGGAACTTCTGCCCTGTAACATCCCCGCTGTGTGTGAATGGCCGTGACCAACCGAGCCGTGTCTCCACCAGGACTGAAGGAGAGCATGAGGCAGGCGGAGCTCAACAACTGGTCCCTGGAACCCACGCAGATAGCGGATCTCTGCTCCTCCATCAACCAGTTCTTTGCGCGCACTGGAGTCATCCAGCCACAAGGGGCAGTGCAGCCCCCAGTCTGCCACGGATCCATGCACCCGAACAAGCCGGGTCAGCACATCAACACAGGTCAGTCTGTGTCTCTGTCGGTGTCTGTATGTGCCCCAGGGGATCTCTGTGTCTCCCTGCCTCTCTCTCTGTCTCCCTGCCTCTCTCTCTGTCTCCCTGCCTCTCTCTCTGTGTCTCCCTGCCTCTCTCTCTGTCNCCCTGCCTCTCTCTCTGTGTCTCCCTGCCTCTCTCTCTGTGTCTCCCTGCCTCTCTCTCTCTGTCTCCCTGCCTCTCTCTCTCTGTCTCCCTGCCTCTCTCTCTCTGTCTCCCTGCCTCTCTCTCTCTGTCTCCCTGCCTCTCTCTCTGTGTCTCCCTGCCTCTCTCTCTGTGTCTCCCTGCCTCTCTCTCTCTCTGTATCTCTGTGCATTAGCACGCTCTCGTGCTGCTGCTGGGTCTGTGTGTCTAACAGGCTTCTCCTGTTATGAAGGAAACATGTACATGGAGTCTCGGCAGAACCTGCCAGCCCTGATGGGCCCCCCAGGGTATCCCCACATGCCCCCTATGAGCAGCGCTGGTCCCACCATGACAGGTATACCCCCCCCTCAGTCTTCATGATCAGTTTGATTCTGGCCCTGGGCCTGTCAGGTGTAGCTGAACTTGCTTCCCTCCCCCTCGTTCCTCAGGGCACCACACGCAGATGAACCAGCAGCACCTCATTCCTCCTGGAAACTTCCAGATGCGACGCATGCCCGCTGACGACATCCAGGACGACTTTGACTGGGACTCCATCGTTTAGGGGCCCGACCTGCCTCCCCCCCCTCCCCCCCCCTCCTCGCTGGCCCCGTACCTTGCAGCGAACTGCATGCCATGTGTGGGTGGGTGGGGGCAGCCCTTCCCTCCCACCTTGGGATGGGACGCTTGGCATGCAGGTCTTCCCCAGGGGAAGACCCGCCGGCCCTGACCTGTATACGAGGCAAAAGCAAAGTTACTCCGAAGACAATCATATTTACCTGGACATGTTTATGCCACCGCTTTTGTACGTGTCGTCCAGCAAGTAGTCAGTGTTGTCAAAATGCCCCCTTCCTCCGCCTGCCCCGGCTCCGCAGTCGCTGTGTGGTGTCACCGTCTTCTTCAGTGTGCTCTCATTCCTGTGTTGACTGACAAAACGGCCTTGGGGGTGAGGAGGGGGGGGGGATGATCACCAGAGGGCTGGATGGGGGCAGATGTCCTGCTCAGTTATGTGCAGAGAGCTCATGGGTGGAGGGGGTGTGGCGCATTGCCTGTGGTCACCTGACCCAGAAGGTGAGGGCCGTGCGAGTTACCACTTGGTAGATGACATTCACGCTAAAGTATGTGTGTGTGTCTGTGTGTGTGTCTGTGTCTGTGTGTGTCTGTGTGTGTGTGTGTGTGTGTGTGTGTGTGTGTCTGCGTGCGCGAGTGGCGCCTGCATTCATTATGCCGTCCATCCATCTTTCACATTTCATTGCTAATGTTTTAACTTTGCAGTAACAGTACATTGGGGGTGGCTTCCACTGAAATTGGATTCCCCCCCCCCCAACATTGTGCGCGCCTCAACTTCTGCATGTACAATCACTGATTCAGCAACCCCCCCTGCCCCCCACAGCAGAAGTTTGGTGTCGATTTACTTGGTTTACTTGGCACAGCTTTAAGCCGCGTGTCAGTCCTGCCTGTGTGTGTCCTACTGGCTCAAGTGTTCTGACTGAGCGCCCCCTAGTGTTGGTTTGTATGAGCACGGAAGGGAAGTCAGAGTTATTTGTGAAGCATATCACTAGGGGTAGTTCAGCACATGGTATCACATGCCCTTTGGAAATGGAGTGGAATTGGAAACTGCCATTGTATGTCCCATGTCAGCTATGTTTATGTCAGTTTTGGAAATGAAGAATTTCCAAGTTTTGCCCTGTTATGATGGTTCCAGATGATGGAATCAACCTATTACGCAATTTGACAATTTTGGAGAGGATTTCTCAGAACATTTGAAGAGAGGAGTGTGTATAATTGGGGGTCTTCATACCTGAATCACTGTGGGCTTGGGTCGCCTCCCTACACCTTACCGTCTGCACACATGTGTTTACTGGGCCAGGCACACTGTGACGTGAGCACAAGCCTGGCCTGTAAGGGCCTGAGGTAGCGAGCCCACATCCTACCGGCTTACTGGGTTTGCGCTCAAGTCCTGACAAGTTCTCAGCCCTGCGTGAGACATGGTGGGTGGGTCCCTGCTGCTTCCCCAGGGTTGTTGTTCCGTCTCGCTTTGTCTTTTTCTGTCTTTTTGGGTATTCAATCAGCTAGTCTCCCACGACTGTTACGCCATGTGTTTCTGTAGGGGTTGGGCTGGATTTCTCATGCGCTATATGAATTTGGGAGGGGAGAGGTAACTGCTAAGGGACACATCTTGCCCGAGTCCGACCCGGACGGTTTACTTTCGGCTTGGCTCTGTCGCCATCTCTGCTAGTCGATGCTGAACACGCGTCCTGTTGCCCTCATTTGTGCCGATGTGGAGCTGATCTTGTGAAAACTGGTATTTCCATGTCTGTCATCTCCGTGTAGGCCGTGAAGTCTGAAAAACTATAATTGGATTTATTCAGAGTATGTATAATCAAGTATTTTCATGTATTTTTTAACGTTTTAAAATGTACAGTGGATTACAACTGTACCTTAACTAACTTACCTACTGCTTGTCTTTGTCGACATTCAGGCTCTAACTTGGTTTGACTTTAACGTTGTATAAATGTTTGGTTGAAACGGATGCCTATGTGTTGTCAAAGATAACCATTCACGTACACTTTGCAGCTGAAGAGATTAAGCTGTTGTGCGCGGTACCGCAGCCAGGTGACCAGCAGCATTTGGCGTCGGCCAGCCCCTGGCCCAACGTCAGGCTTTAATTCCTAAGCCATCTTGTGTTTTAGTGTTATAAACCTTGCCATTGAAAATAAGCACATTGTGTTAGTCCTGTGTGTTTTAAAGTTTGTCTGTGGGTGCGTCTGTGTGTGAGAGAGCGAGAGACCCTGTGCCTTCCTCCCTGTTTACACCTCGCCGTTCGTCCAAGGTGCTGCTGACCATCCTCTCCTGGGGAGAACTTGTCACGCTACACCGCCGGTCAGGGTGGGTTCCAGTCCTGGGATGTTCTGCTTCTCGGTGGGAAACCGCATTGGCTCGGTTCTGAAGTGAGGGTTTCTGTGCTGAAGCAGACGGAACCGTTTAAGCCGCCCGTGACGTGCCGTCCCAACTGCGCGCTGACCAGCTGGCCAGGCCAGTCCAGCCCGGGGGGAACTGATTTTGCCCCAGCACTACACGGCCTGGCTGCTGATTTTAAGGCTTTTAAATTGAATGTGTTTATGCGGTGGGATTTTCAGGCCTTGGGTTTGGTCGGCGGCAGGCTGTGAGGTGGCGCGACCCAGCTCATCCGCACGCTGCCGAGTGGCGCAGTCCTGCCGGCCGCACCGAAGGCTGATTATTACACATCCACAGCAAATCCAATCTGCAGAGCTTAGCACTGCATAGCACTGCGTAGCACTGGCGCACATCTCTGACTGTAATCGTTCACTGCCCTTTCAGCTATGAGCAGCCAGTTGACGGTCGTTTTGAACCTGGTAACCAGTCGCCGACAGGAAACACAAATATCTGTGGCTGAAGGCGCCACAGATTAGCACCTAGAAATGTACACAGAATTTAAACGGAACAGGAGGAGGGAATCTGTGCGCTGGTTTTGGAGAGGAAACTGGGGTGGGGCATAAAGGAGGTACAAGAGGAGAAAAAAAGTCTGGATAAGACAAATCAGCCTATTTAAATATATTTTTTTTAAGCAGTGTTCCTTCTATCCTTGTGTGTGCGTGTGTGTTTTGTGCGTTTTAAAAGTTCAGCTTCACTATGCCGGTGGAGACGCGCCAGAGAGATTTTAAATCCGAAAAGAGAGAAAAAAAAAAAAAAACATTAAGGGAGAAAACTGCCAAGTGCGGCTACATGAGGCCCGTTTTACTCAGTGTTGATGTGTTGTGTTGATTGTAAATATGTCTTTTCAATCATCCTTTTCTTCTCGGGGTGGGTGGGCGGGGGTTGCTCCTGGGAGGCGAGGGGGCCCCCTGGATTTAAAGAAATGGGGAGAATAATAGAGTATTTTGTTATTGTTTAAAGGGTGATACAGTATGTACATATCTATATTGTATATATGTGATGAAAATGCATTGGCTTTTTGTGTGACACTACCTTCTACCTGTGCTATGGTTCTACAGTCAGTGTTTCAATGTTTATAAAGTATATTTTTGTTTTGTTTTTGATTTGTTTTTATTTCATTTATCTGTATTTGTTGTCCCTGCCCCCATTCTCCTTTGTTATTGCACGATTTATTACTTTTGCTGTCCAAGAAATGACACGGCTATTCTTTGTATTGGTTTAGTGCTGTAAAATAAATCCAAAGTGTCATTAGGATTGTTGCTGCCAGACCCCCCCCCCCCAACACGGTGCCGTCCTGGCGAGTTTGCCGTCATGTTGCCCCCCCCCCCCCATCCAGCTCCCTTAATATGCATGAAAGGCACTTAAAAAAATTAAATAAAATATGTTAACTTCACTGTGGAATTGCTTGCAACTTGATGGCCATGTGTGTGTGTGTGTGTGTGTGTGTGCGTGCATGAGTGTGTGTGGGTTGGGGTATGTACAGCCATGGCCAGAAGAATTGAGAATGACACAAATATTAATTTTCACACAGTCAGCTGTCTGTTTTTATGATGGCAATTTGCATAAACTCCAGAATGTTATGAAGAGTGATCAGATGAATTGCAATTAATTGCAAAGTCCCTCTCTGCCATGAGGATGAACTTAATCCCAAAAAACCCATTTCCACTGCATTTCAGCCCTGCCACAAAAGGACTTGCTGACATCATTTCAATGATTCTCCCGTTAACACAGATGACGGTGTTGACGAGAACAAGGCTGGAGATCACTCTGTCATGCTGATTGAGTTAGAATAGCAGACTGGATGCTTTAAAAGGAGGGTGGTGCTTGAAATCATTGTTCTTCCTCTGTTAATCATGGTTACCTGCAAGGAAACACATGCAGTCGTCATTGCTTTGCACAAAAAGAGCTTCACAGGCAAGGATATTTCTGCCTATAAGATTGCACCTAAATCAGCCAATTATCGGATCATCAAGAACTTCAAAGGTGAGAGGTTAAATTGTGAAGTAGGCTTCAGGACGCCCAAGAAAGTCCAGCAAGAGCCAAGACCGTCTCCTAAAGTTGATTCAGCTGCAGGATTGGGACACTACCAGTGCAGAGCTTGCTCAAAAATGGCAGCAGGCAGGTGTGAGTGTATCTTTATGCACAGTGAGGCAAAGACTTTTGGAGGATAGCCTGGTGTCAAGAAAGGCAGCGAAGAAGCCTCGTCTTCCAGCTTGATGGAGCACCATGCCATAAGACAAAAGTGATAACTAAGTGGCTCGGGGAACAAAACATCGACTTTTTGGGTCCATGGCCAGGAAACTCCCCAGACCTTAATCCCAGTGAGAACTTGTGGTCAATCCCCAAGAGGTGGGTGGACAACCAAAAAACCCATAAATTCTGACAAACTCCAAGCATCAGTTATGCAGGAATGGGCTGCAAATCAGTCAGGATTTGGCCTAGAAGTGGATTGACAGCCTGCAGAGGTCTTGGAAAAATAAGGGCCAACACTGCAAATATTGACGCCTTGCATGAACTTAATGTAATTTTCAATAAAAGCTTTTGACACTTATAAAATGCTTGTGATTATTCTATTCAGTATACCATAGAAACATCTGACAAAAAGATCTACAAACACTGAAGCGGCAAACTTTGTGAAAATCAATACTTGTGTCATTCTCAAAACTTTAGGCCATGACTCTATATATTGCATTGAGGAGACCAAATGTCCCCACAATGTGATAAAAATCTATTTTGGCATGGAGACCAATTTTTTGGTCCTCACAAGGGGAAACTCATTTTTATAAAAATCTGTGACTGCAATTAAAAAAAAACTACAAATACCAAAAGTCTTGTAATTTGGTTACCTTATGGTTAAGGTTGTCATAATTTGGATTAGGATATTACCCATTGAAATGAATGAATGGTCCCCAAAAGATATGAATGCAAACCTGTGTGTGTCTGATGTCTGTGTCTGATGGGCACTATGTGTAGTTTCAACGTCATTAAATGAGTGTTTTTCCTATTCTGTATATATTGTGCATTTTGAAGGGTCAAACCCAATCCTTGCTGTGAACTGTGGGGAGATCAGAGGAACAAGGACTGTCAGGATGTAGTGAACAATTCAGGCACCTTGAAAGGCACCTTGTCACTGTCCAGTGGCTCACTGAACATACACTTCCTTCATGGCAGTTCATGCTCTGTGTCCAGTCTCTTGTTAACAGCTTGTTCTGTTTTCTTTCCAATGTATGGAGGTGGGGCTGTTAACATTTCGGTATTTCGGAGCAAACGCTGCAGAGACAACATCAGTTAACCAGATGTCAAAGTCTGAACCTGCCTCCAGTCTCCAGCCCATTTCCTGGTGAAGTGGTAACACTCCGGCTCTGTACCTATGGACAAGTGCTACGTAGTCTTGAAATATTCAGCTATAAAAACAGGCAAAATATAAGAGAACAGGCTGAGGTATATGTGAATAGCTTAGTGGTAACTGTTACAAGGCACTGCCATGTGTGTGTTTGATGTCTGCTGCAGCAGACAGCGTGGTCTCGGTGCTTAGTGTGCGCTCTCACCCCCCACCCCCTCCCCACCCGCCTGCAGCATTGAACCTTCTTGGCGGGTTCGATTAGGCACGGGGCGTCCCACGCATCACAAGAGAATCGGCTCATTTGGCGCTTAAATGACTCTGGGGATGTCTGAATTTCCCAGGAGACCAGGTGATCGGAAGACACAGCGGGGAAAAATCTGACACGTTTCCCAGGGGAGTGAATGGAGTCAATGTGTGTCTTTCCCTGGCGCGCGTGGCAGGAATTTTTAATAACAGCAGTAAAGATATCTTTAGAATATCTTTAGAGATGTGCACATGGAGGTATAGGGATGTGTATAAATGGAAGGCGCAGATCAGTAGGAAGAAGGTGTGTTGCGACTGAAGTTGTTTATGGTGTCATGTAAAAGTCAATTAAATATTGATCCTTCATAATCCATCAGCATTAAAGAAAAATCCAACATTCTTGTTGTACAAATGTGTATGTGGTCATGATCGTGTCACGGTGCTATTTGTGAACAAAACCTGTAACCAAACCCTACAGGGGAGTCAAACATTCCTGCTCAGCTTGTAACAACGTTAGCAAGACATTATGATGACGACATTAACTCAAGTAATAGATCTTAGTTTTCCTCATCCACTGGCAGTAAGAAAATGATCAAAATGGTTTTGGGAGATGTGGGAGTTTGCCAGGCTCAAATGTGGTGACTCCAGCTTAATTAGACGTGGCTCGTTTTCTGTGTCATCAGTCAGTCAGTCATGGATTGCAGAATTTGCTGTGATTTTTATCTGAGAGTCACCTTGGGATTTTCCCACATGTTTTACTGGCAGAAATGAGTAGGATGGAAAGTAACAGGATTGATAACGTTTAAAATGTTTATAATGTAAATACTGAGCCACTAAAGGTGCTGTAGAGCAGTGTTTCCCAATCCGGTCCCCAGGACCCACAGCCGGTCCATGTTTTTGCTCCCTCCGATGTCCCTGCCAGACAGTCCACATTTTCGCTTGGGAGCTGGAAGGGAGTAAAAACATTGATCAGCCGTGGGTCCCGGGGACCGGATTGGGAAACTGATGTAGAGGATCCAAGAATAACAGGCATAGACCCCACTTTCTATAACATCACTCAGCTGACTTTGTGGTCCCAGGTGAGACTGAAGTAGGTTAATTACAAAACCAAAAAGTGTGAGAACACGACCGTGTGCGGCCTTCACAAGAGTGGTCGCTCAGAGCACTTCACTAAGAATGACTTTTCCTGACCGCCAAAGCCAAGCATCTCTGATGTGTGTGATCATGTTAGCATGAGGGCTTGGCCAAAATATTCAAGTGGGGTTGAACATGAACCTCTAGGATTCTTATCACACCACCTGTTTGCCTTGAACAGAGTAGATATTCTAAGCCGCAGCCCTCTGGGGATCTCATGTTTGTATATTATATTTGCAATATGGATCATGTGTTTGCTATTCAAAGTGCTCTATTCCTAATCTCCTGCACCGAGGCCTCACTTGACTCAATGACACAGATGTGTCCTTCACTGTAGTGGAGTTGTCAGCATCTGCCAGCTCGTTTTTCTGTGGTTTTCTGGTACAGAGAGCTGGTCCTGAAAGAGCTCAGCACTGGGAAGACACACCCCCCCCCCCAGTAGGCTGAGAACTGTTTCCACTCAGATCCTACTACCCCCATCAGCTCTCGTCTATTAACATCATAGGAATCATGTCCTGATTGTCAGTGGTTCTTTACAGTGACTCAGCTTGTCTTTGAACCAGATCTTTAATTCCCAAAAAGGGAAATGTGTGCTGCCAATGTCTCAGTGCCCACAAAAGCACGCTGGTTAAACCAAACATGGTCCAGAAATGAGGGGAAAACTGTACACACCAAAACCAATGTGCTATGGCAGGCTGAGGTCACCCCATCATAGATGAATTTTCCACCATCTCTCTGATTCCTGATGTCTTGTTTTCTAGGTATTGTCTAGACCGGTGTTTCCCAAACTGGTCCTCAGGGAACCCCAAGTAGTCCATGGTTTTGCTCCCTGCCAGAAAGTCCACATTTTTCACTCCCTCTCAGCTCTCTGCTGTGGCCTGTCTGGCAGGGAAGCGTGAGGGAGCAAAAACATGGACTGTCTGGAGGTCCCTGAGGACCAGGGTGGGAAACACTGGTCTAGACCACAGGTCTGTCTTCAAGCCACAGAACCTACTGTCCTGAAAGCAAAGGACTGCAAGCACCAACTGAGAGCACTGATTTCCACAGTTTATCT